GAAACGCGAAGAAGAGGGCGATTTGATGAATAATCGGCAAAGCAGGAAACAATAAAATGCATGTCGCAAATAAGCAGGCACGTCGCAAATAAGCAGGAAACACTCATGTGAAACGCCAACGCCTTAATCAGGCATCTCGCAGAAACACACCGAGACGGTGTCCGTGGTGATGACGGGCGGGGGACGCCCGTGATGTTAGGAGCAGAGCGACAACAGCGCCGATACCCCGGGCACGCTGCGGATCGACGATACCACATGACAGACGTATTGAACAGAGAGTTCATGATGACTGTCACTAAGCTGCCACAAAATAACTAGGAGAAAGAAATGCTAGAGTCTCACTGAGTCGCCAGCGAGAGAGAAGTGATTAGAAGGAAAAGCTTTGGAGTGGAACAACGGATTATGGAACAGGGAGAGTGGAAGTGGCAGGAGGTAGTGGAAGTGCCCGATGTCAGAATGGACACGATCGGAGTGGTTGGAAGTGACCGATAGTGACGATCTCGCGGTCAAAAATCTCTTTAAGTAAATCGACGGTCAATAATCGAACCTCAATCCCGATCACACGTCCTTCAGGTGAGCCTTTTTGTGGCGGAAGTGCAGGGGAGAGGGATTATTTTGTAATTGCGTTATAATCGGAGAACCGTCGATAAGGCTCCATGAAAGAAAAACAAACGGCATCCATCTAGCAAGCTGGCACATTTGCTGCAATGAAAACGACAAACGGTCCCAGTTGTCACAACCTGCAATGAACACGAGGAAATATTGACTAATACGGGTTAGGCACACTAACTTTCATACAAATTGGTTGCTTATAACTACATTTCACGATCTCACACACAGAGATGCCAAAATGGCAGCCATTATTTTGGCAGAGTACAGTAGATTATTTTACGGTGTGAATAAATCTTGCCAAAAAAAAAAGGCAGCATTGAGACAACATCATGTGCCGTCCAATTATGTAATAGCACAATTCCACCCCATTCCACTTTCAAACCAGCGTCACTCGTTCCCGTGTCGTGCGAATGGCACCACATTGTTTTGAGAGCTTCCTGGTATCACTAATGACTCAGTGGTGTGAAGAAACCTTGCAAAATAAACAACGCAGCGTTGAAACGGCATCATGCGTCGTCGAGGTTTGCACTCGCACGATTTCACCTTATTCGATATTCAAAGCAGCGCCATCGTTCCCATGTCGTGCGAATGGCACCACATTGTGTTGAGAGCTTCCTGATATCACAAACCACTCAGTGGTGTGAAGAAAATTTGCAAAACAACACAACACAGCGTTGAAATGGCATCATGTGCAGTCCATGTACACTGTCAATGTCCACGCTCGACCAGCTCCCAAGTGCCCATGGCGATGAGGCTGTTGATCTCCTCGTCCATGGCGGCCTTCACCGCCTTGCCCTTCCAGCTCGCCAACGCCTCCTTCACCGTCATCGTCGCAATTACCCCACGGTGCTCTGGATCGGCGTGCACGTAAGGGTCGAGCTCGGGCAGGTCGGCGTCGGCCTGCGCATCGTCGAGCAACGTGCTATAGGAGGTCGGCGGCAGGCAAGCCTGGTAGCAGATTCGACGCCCGCCATCTGCATCTTGGCCAGAAGTCATCGAGCAAGATTACAGTAGTCCGTCGCCGACTCCTGCTCGCCCATCCGAAGGTGTGTCAGCTGCTCCTCCTTCTGGCCGATGCACAAGTCGTCCGTCGCCTAGTAGGTCGACACGATGAACTGTCACGCCTGGTGGCCTGCGTCCAGTCGAAGTCGACACGTTTTCAGCGCAATCTGCACCATCGACGAGCAGCACCTCGAGATGACTATGAAGGTGAGCAGATGAGCAACACGAAATTCTCCGCGCAGCTCGACCTCGTCCTCGTGCGGAATCGGCACGGTGCCTTCGGCGAAACCCTTCAGTCCGGCGATCTCCAGTTGAGGCTCAATAGCCTCCTTCCACGTGATGAGGTCCCGTCGACCTTGCAGCGGCACTGGCACGGCGATCTTGTCCGGCGAGAATTTGAAGTAGCCATACGCCGGAGCGATCCCGCCCACCGTCACATGCGTCGACGACGTTGGCCTCCCATTGCTTCGCAAAGGTGAATGACGTCGACCCTTGACGTCCACATGCGAGCTGCCAGCGGCAGCCGTCAACCGCTGCACTCGCGCCTGATTCCTGCCGACGCCACCGTCGACGGACATGATCACTCCTATCTTCCCTTGTGCCCTCGCTGCCGCCGACTGGTTCACTGTTGTCGACCTCCATGTCGACGACGCCGTCGTTCCGCACCGGTCGAGGAGAGGCGGACGAACCCTCCGCTCCAGGTTGGGGAGGGTGTTCCGCCACCCACTTCGCGCGGATCCCCAGGAGAATCACCTCCAAGGGGAGCACCGTCCAGAACTCGCCATCTCTATGGCGCATCGTCGCACCAGCCAGACGTGCTTCTATCGTATCCTCTACCCCACCGGCCTCTGCCAGGGTAGGCGTCATAGTTCGCACAGGCTGCCGGCCTACAAACGACTTAGGTAAGTGATACGTTGGCTACTAATCTGAAGGTATCTGCGGGGCCGTTCCACGCTCACCACACCATGCGGAGATAAACTCTACAACGGTGGGAGCTAGACTATGGGGTTGACACTGGTTGTAAGAGTGATCGTAGCTCTGTTTGAGTTCTCTATGACTTGTGTGTTCACAGAGCAAAACAGCAAGAGTTTCACTATGAAAGTTGAGAAAACGAGTTCAAAATGAACAAGCGATGGGAAAGATTGACTACATCAGATGCAGGGCTTGCTAGTGCACAGGCAGGTCGACCGCCAGCACGACAAAGTCGTCGACCTGCCAACGTAGCAAGTCTGCGGCCCGCCAACGCATCTCGTGCACGGCTTGCCAACGCTGCAGAATGGCGTCCTGCCAACGATGCACCCGCGCGGCTTGCCATGTTGCATCCGCAGGTGATTGGAAGCGCATGTGCAAGCACCTACTTCGCAGGTGCTTGTAGACAGTTACACACGTCGTGCACTGTCGCGGGCATTGCGCAGGTTGTCATCCAAATGCCGACGATTGCACCTGACGAGCCACGTCGACCACGTGCTACCACGTCGGTCGACTTCACCACAGGAACCTCGACGACGTTCGCGCACCTCTGCAGAACCTCGTCGAGCAAGTAACTTGGTCGACAGAGTCAAGTCCACGGCAACCCTGCAGGACGATGACCTTCGTCATCATTGGTCGACGACATTCGTCGTCGTTGGTCGACGACCTTCGTCACTGTGGGTCGACGGCCTTCGTCGTCGTGGGTCGACGGCCTTCGTCGTCGTGGGTCGAAGACCTTCGTCGTCGTGGGTCGACGACCTTCGTCGACCACCTTCTAGCTGAAATTCTCTTGTGCATTCGCGTAAGTGCGCAGGATCAGACGTGACCGTGCGAAGACGAACACCCGCGAACCTCTGCACCAGCTGCGCCACTTGCACATGTGCACGAGACGTTTTCGTTGCACTCACGGGTGCTTCGGTTACTCTTGCATGGGTTCCCTAGTACACATCGTGTACAGGAAGCTCCAGATCTTGCATATTGCAGAGGGTCGGCTGCACCTCCCACACCCCCGACCACACAGTCAGTTTTGCCCAAGCGCGGGCGGGGCCAACTCCCGTCCATACGAATAACTTCAGATTGGGTTGAGAGCTTCTTGGTATCATTAACGATTATGTGGTATAAAGAAACCTTGAAAAAAAATAAAAAATCATTGAGAGCGTTGAAACTACATCATGCGACGTCCATGTATGAACTCGCAAATATTCCTTTAGAAGAATTCATAATCATTTGGTGACTCTATCTTCCCACTGATCACAACAAACAAGATCAGAAAGTTCAACCGCTTTACTTAGACGTGGAAATCAAACTACTATACGGCTACAAAATGGATGTCTGAACAATATAAGCTCTTCATAACAGTATATTCAATGTGCGCTGGAACAGATATGCTCTTGTGCGGGTCAACTTGGCCTGGCTTTGGGTCAAACCCTTTCGCCACCTGCTGCTTCATAGAAGGTGTGCTTCGATGCCCCACCCTTACGAAGGAGTAAGTTCGAATCGAACAACCAATGAAAATCGCACGAACGTTGTCGAGGAAGTTTCGAGGACGAAGTCGACATATTTCGACCAATAGAATCTCTCGCAGGGTCGTATCGAAACTTCTGTGATGATGCTGCCGAACGAATCCCGGGCCGCAAACCCAGAAAAGCCACCTGCATGTAAGTTTCGGAAAGTAACTCGATCGCAAGCCCTAAAAAACATCCCACCCCGACCTCACACATTTTGGGATGAAGTCGCAATAAGCATGCCGTGCTTTTGCTCCTATCGGTGCGTTTCGAGACCAGTGGCACCAGCAACAGCGCCACGTATCGACATGACATCCTAGCTCAGCTTGCATAGCATCCATGCTCGCTCTCTCGTCCGTCTAGTTGGCTGGCTGTCACATGAATGGCTGTCACATGAACGACCTTCGAGTCCGCAGAGAGTGACGGTCTGGGGATACCACCCCCTCCCGCATCGAGTCACGATGGTAACCGTTTGAAAGTGACCCACTTTACGCTTCAGCCAACTCCGTTTAGTGAACATGTGAAACTAGTATTTGTTGTATTGAAGTACTGATAACTAACAACTGTGTAACAATTCTTGCCTTTCGCACGCTGCGTGCACGCTGCATATCTTCCCGACCAGAGTTTTTTTGAAAACATCAGTTTCATTACCACCCTCGCTACAACCCACCATCGCCTCACACTACCACTTATTCTAACACCAACGCTTGCCCCTTATCCTTTTATAACCTCGAGCACACTTCCTCCTTCACACTAACCACGTCCCTTCATTGCACAAGCTCAAAGGCATTGAAGGCCATCCATAAAGTCGCCGACAGCCATCTCGCCACTTGATCTTCCATCTGGCTCGGGGCGAGGAGCGTTTGAAGCGGACCGATGCGCACTCACACACACATGGGCTGACTGAGCCGCTTACTCCCAATGGGATTCTAGCAGAACGACCTGCCAACAACACAGTAGATCTCCAGGGAGGAAGTCCTCTTGCAGAGACACGAGAGTGTCAGGGTTGCACCGGCGCGTGGCGAAAAGGAGAGACTGCAGCGCAGGGGCATTGATGTAAGGAGGCCTTGGTGCTTCACGATTCCTGCTTCGACTCCTCCTGCTGCTACTGCCACGAATGCCACAGCCGCCGCTGTTATCACCTGTGCCGCTTCCTCTATCTCCTCCCCCATCAGCACCTCTCCTCGGGTACAAACGCCGCCTGCACGAGCCTCTGCTTCCACCACTGTCGTCTTGCGCCTTTCCTCACCCGCCTTGCTCCCACGCACACCGATGGCCAGGCGGTGCAGCTCACTCCACTCGCCCTCCACTGACTCTATCGGCATCGAGTGTGGCACCATCAGTGCCTCCACTGTTGGGGCTATTGATTGCAGCACGCGGATCAATGATAATTCATGCAAGGATAGAGAGTAAAGGTCCCGAGAGCTGGGAGGCTGATTCGGAGAACTCGGAGGTGGGCGAGGGGGGTTGGCTAGTGGATTGACTGTCTCCTCTTGCATGCTGGTGGGAGGGATGCCACCACGAGGCGCTTGCAACCAATCGGCATGAGGAAATCGAGGGAGAGAGAGTCCGCTGAAACAGACAAAGAATTGAGAGAGGCAGGGAGGGAGAGGTTGAGGTGCACTCTGTGCTGGTCCAACACGAGGTGGATGGATTGAGCAGTGGAGAAGCTAAGGTTGAGGGTGCAGACCCCCTGGTTGAGAAAGTTAGAGTGAGAGTCCGTACAGCTGCGGCGTGATCTGGGCCAGAGACTCGAAATCCGAGGCGGTGCAGTGGGAATGGTGGATGGTGAGGGCCCTTAAGGCTTTGAGCCACAAGGGGTCGAGGCTGGTGAGGTTCCAGTTGGCACGCTCCAGATGCAGCTACTGCAGCTGCGGACAGTGCTGGAAAAACACTGGGGAGACGCGCATGTGCTGTTCTGCACGTCGCTACTGCTCTGCATGGCCGTGTTGCTCTGCATGGCCGTGTTGCTCTGCATGCCTGTGTTGCTCTGCATGCCTGTGCTGCTCTGCATGCCTGTGCTGCTCTGCATGCCTGTGCTGCTGGGCATGCCCATAGGGGTCTTCCCAGTGGGATGCATCCCTGGGCGTGGGCCCCAGGCAAAAGGAGGTGAGGGAGTGGCCAGAGGCTCTCATTGTGCTGTGTAGGTCCTCCAAGGTGTGGCAGTGCAGGTGGGCTTCCGAGCTCTGATGGGTGGAGAGAGAGAAGAGAAGCACAAGCGATGAGGTGAAGAACGTTTTTTATATAGTTCTGGAAAAACACAGAGGTTCTCATTGTGCCGCCGAAGCTGTGCAGGTCCGCCAAGGTGTGGAAGTGCAGACGAGCTTCCGAGCTCTGATGGGTGGGGAGAATGAAGCACTGGCGATAAGGTGAAGAGCGGGAGAGGTGAGAATTCAAAAGATAAACACAGAGGCTCTCATTGTGCTGCTGAAGCTGTGCAGATCCGCCAAAGTGTGGAAGTGCAGGTGGGCTTTTGAGCTCTGATGGGTGGGGGGAGAGAAACACTGGCGATGAGGTGCAGCGTGGGAGAGGTGAAATTGGGGAGATGAGAGGAGGAGAGGAGGGATGGGGAAGATGAGAGGGGGAGAGGAGGGCTGGGGGAGATGAGAGGGGGAGAAGAGGGACGGCGAGGATGAGAAGGGGGGAGGAGGGATGGGGGAGATGAGAGTGGGAGAAGAGGGATGGGGGAGATGAGAGGGGGAAAGGAGGGCAGCTCCCACTCTCATCCCCCACCCTTCTCAACCCTTCTCAACCCTTCCCAACCATCTCATCCCTCTCATCCTCTTACCCCTCCCATCCCTCTCATCCCTCTCATCCCTCTCACCCCTCTCACCCCTCTCACCCCTCTCACCCCTCTCACCCCTCTCATCTATCCCATACCTCTCATCCCTCTCACCCCTCTCACCCCTCTCACCCCTCTCACCCCTCTCATCTATCCCATCCCTCTCATCCCTCTCACCCCTCTCACCCCTCTCATCTATCCCATCCCTCTCATCCCTCTCACCCCTCTCATCTATCCCATCCCTCTCATCCCTCTAATTCTTCTGCTCCCTCTCATTCCTCTTATCACCTCGCCCCTCTCGTCCCCCTCGTTATTCTTACAATTCTCACCAGTCTTGTTGGAGTATGAAGGGAATTATACTTAGCATTCCCGTAGGTGCAGCAATATCGCACCAGACTCTATCGAAGCAGCGCTAGCAGCAGTGTTGGATCAGCCTATATCAAAGGCAGGAAGGTCAACAGTCGCAAGAGTCAACTGTCGCGACTGTTGACCATCTGGACCGACGGTTGACTCACCATCGAGGAATGGCAACAGGCGTAACCGTATGTACAGGTTACATGCAGCGACTCGGTAACAAGAAAGTAGTGGAACAGTCAGAGTCAATGTAGAAATGTCTATAAAGCAGTTAGAATAAGGGAATGTACCCCTCAGAGTACATGGCTAGCTAAGAACTATTTATTATGTGTGTAATCCTTTGTTTAATCAACTTGGTCATTTACATTCACTATGATCTGAGTTCTTACAACAAGACTTCCGCTACCAACTCTACTAAGCAAGGTCCTTATTCTAACATGGTATGAGAGCTAGTTTGGATTATAGGAACTGCTAAAGGGGCTTCCAACAAGCTTATTTATAACTTAATCTCAACATCAAGAACGACATCAAGGGCATCAGCATGCCAGGCGCAGACTGCGGAGAGGCTGGAGAAAATCCAGTGCAACCCTCCACCAATGTCGCCTCTACTACGACGACTGTGGACACATCGCTCCTCGAGCAGCTGATTTCCCGCATCAGCGCACTGGAGAGCCACCAGCCGATGAGCATCGACGGCTCAAGCTACGCCCGAAGACCTCCCGATCCTCAAGGAGCTGGATCTGAACGATCCTTCACCTTCGATAACCGCGGAGCTCAAGGATCAGCTCAAGCACAACAAACACATTACGAGGCAATGGCTTCAATGCAGAGCAAGTTCCTCACAACATCGAAGCTCAGGACAACCAAACCCTTCGATGGACAAGACTTTTACACCTGGAGCTTCGAATTCGAGCTACTAGCTCAGGGCCCTCAGATTTGGATGTACTACGACGGTTCATACGCATTCCCAACTAGCGGCTCACCTCAGGAGAAGACCCATTACTACAACGAATCGCTCCTAGCCTTCACCGTTCTGATTCGAAACCTGTCGCCCGAAGAGCAGCTGAGCATTCGCCCCTGTCAGAATGCAATGGGAGCCGAAGTAGTGGTGCTAGGGGGGTGACGTCGGAGTGGAGCTAGGGGTACAGCAAGGGGTGTGTGAATGGGGGGTGGGACAGTTGGGGGAGGTTGAGCGGAGTCTGCCGTCTTGTCGCCCGCAGCACCTGTAGTCCGGGGCGCTGTCCTGGTAGCCCAGAGAGCCTGCTGCGCCTGTCGTCCGTGGGTCCGTTGCTTCTGCCGCTCAGAGTTAGCCGCAGAGCCAGTTACTCCCTGTAGTCCGGGGCGCTGTCTCGGTAGCCACTATGCCAGCCGCTCCTATTGCCCGTGTGTCTGCAGCTTCAGCCGTTGCCTCCCATCTCCTCTACTCTCACAGTCCAGCCTCCTCCTCCTCACGTGCCCGATGTGAATGCCTCTAGCTGTGCTTGTTGTGCTGATTACACCCCACTTTGGCTGTGGGGGTTTGTCAGAATGTTGTATTTGTCTAGCCTGCAGTGGGGTACTCTATAGCGAGTACAGCCCAATTTAGGGTTTCCTATATGTACTCAACTGCTTGCTAGTGCAACCACTCTTTTCTTCATTCTTGTTTCTGACTGCTAGTTCTTACAGCCCCTTAAAAAACGAATGGGCACCCGCGCAACAGTCCTGGGAGCATCTGCGCACCTGCCACATGGCAACAGATTCGGTGACACTTAGTTGCCTGCTCAACCAGCTGAACAATGTCAAGATGTTCCGTGGCGAGAAAGCCGGACCATACATCAACCGCTGCAGGAACCTGAGAGATCAGTTCACGAAAAGCGGCGGCAACTTCCCTGACGACATGTTTGTCACAATTATCCTCACTGGATTGAGCCCGGAATGGCGCCAGTGCAAGTCGCTCCTTCGCACTCAAGGGACACTCAGTGAAATAGCCCTTTGCTACACGCTCCTTTCCAAACAAAAGGAATTCGACCTGTACAACGTGTTGGTGCAACCCTACGGTTTGCACTCGGCTTGTTGTCCGTGTACGTGAATGCGTGTGTGCATGGAATGGAATGAGGCATGAAATAATACATATATATCATGCTTATAATAGTGTGTGCATGATGGGTCATGATGTCGAATGTGTGTGTCGAGTCAATAGCGAGTTATCGCTAGTCGCGTGTTACGCGATCATTTTGGTGTGTCCCGCGCGGCTTCTATTTTGTCGTGCGCGGTTTCTATTTTGTCGCTTGTCGAACGTTCGGCATGTCGCAGGTGTGTGCAGCAGACCCATCAAGAACTCAAGGATGAGTTTGTGATGAAGAACCCGAGCCTTGGTGTCGAGCCTCAAGTGATTTTGAAGCTCGCCAAAAGGGTACACCTCAAGATATTGAAGATAGTTACATTGCTTTGTGTAGTGTAACATTTCACTTGGTGTAGGCCCTAGGGAAGGGTAGTTTCGAGACCCTTCGTGGTTGGGGACAGTGTGGCACTGTTCCACATCACTGTACCTCGGCTCTTGGGGTTTGTGCAGAAATCTGACTGTGCACTCAATTCTTCGTTTTAGGCACATTGAAGCCTACTGTGACAATAACAAGTGGTATCAGAGCCCCTTGGAGCAGCTACGACTATGGCTGGACCTGAAGAAAGGGGTGACAGAGGTGCTGGAGGCAATGGAGAAGCCCAAGCACAAGGCCAAGCCCGTGATTCAGCCGTGGCGCCCGTGCAACCAAGTGTTGGCCCATCTAGGGACGAGCCTAGAGTGTTTGGCCTTGACAAGTTCAACGGTGACAACTTTGCTGAGTGGTCCTTCAGAATGGAGAACGTGTTTGACCATTATGACCTGCTGGAGGTGATGGAAGGAACGGAGAAGCGTCCCGAGAACGACCCGGAGAGGAGCCCGTGGGTGCGGAAGAGCACACAAGGCTATCTCCTACTTGGGCAAGCGTTGGGGAGCAACCAGATCCGTCACATCAAGCCTTTCCAGCGTGAACCAGAGAAGGGACCAAAGGCATGGGCTGCTCTCAAGGGTGTACACGCTCCTGCAACAGCGGCGGTAGCTGTGGTGTTGGAACGGCAAATGGCGACGCTACGAATTGAAGAGGATGAAGCGGTTGAAGAAGGGGTGCAGAAATTCTTCGACTTGTTGACGCGGCTTGAGGGAGCTGATTTGAACTACAGTGAGCTCCAAAAGAAGACCAAGTTGCTGGCCCTACTCCCCGAATCGTGGTCCTCGCTCATCATCAACTTGAACCGTGATCTGCCCCGTCTCTCGCTTGAAGACGTGAAGCGCGCGATCCTACAAGAGGACTTCCGTCGCCGTGAGTTGGCGAGTGCAGATGGCACTGGGGCAGCGAGCATTGGCCGTGGATATGGTCAAGGAAGAGGCAGAGGACGAGGGGGAGGAAGGTTTGGTGGCAGCAACTTCGGCGGAGGCCGCGGGAGTGGCGGTTACGGCAGTGACGACAAGAGCTACGGTCGCGGTCGCGGGCGATTTGACGGTGAATGTCATTATTGCCACAAGACCGGACACATGTGGCGCGATTGCTACAACCTCCCTGATGGATGGACCCCTGCTCAAGACCAAGAGGGTAGAGGAGCAGGAGGAGGGAGAGGAAGAGGTCGTGGAGGCCGTGGCGGTCGCGGAAGCGGAGCTGCAAATATGAAGAACGAAGATAACAACAAGGACCCGAGCGACGATCGGTACCCGGGTCTATTCTACTTCGTGTCGACGCAAGTACCGGCTGGTCCAGAGAAGGATGAAGGCTTTGAGGAGCCAGCAGCTGTAGGGAAGGTTACCCTACACCCCCTGGACTATTGGGTGATCGACAGCGGCGCTACCTATAGCATCACACCTCGCCCGGACTTGCTCACCGAACTCGAACCGTCACCGGTGAAGCATGTCACATCGGCTTTGGGGCAGCGAGCAGAGGTGCAAGGCATGGGGAAGGCCATGTTCAAGGGTGCTGATGGGAAGATGGTGGGCCTCAAGAACGTGCTTTGGGTGCCCAGCCTTGCTGCAAACCTGATTTCCGTGCGGCGGTTGGCAAAGGCCGGCATGGACACGAACTCGAAGGGAGCCAAGACCTACACCGCAAGGCTTGGCGATCGAATTCTTTGGGACCTTCATGAGGACAGGGATGTCTACAACAAGATGTGGCAGATCCCTGTGGTCCCTATGCCTAAGGAGAGGCAAGTGGCAGCAAGCATCAGCACCAAAGGTGAAACGGTTGATAGCGGCGATGGCGCGAACGGTCGCGCTAAGGAGAACGAGTCCAAGAAGAGCAATCTTGGAGGGACCAGCAAGCTCGGTGATCATAACAAGAGTGGTGCAGCAGCCAAGGAGCAGCACAAGAGTGAGGAGAACCCCGAGGCAGCAGCGGAGGAGTACTGAGAGAGCATGTGGGGCGCTATTGCGAGTGCGGCATTCTCAAATCCGACTTCGGCTACGGGGGAGTGTGATTGGCTCACCTTGCATCGGCGCATGGGGCATGTGGCCCTTCCTATTTTGCAGCAGCTGGTGAAGAACTAGATGGTTGCTGGCATACGTGTGAAGGGGGAGCCCGATGAGGTACTTGGCTGCCCGACGTGCATGCAAGCCAAGTTCACCCGTTTCCTGTTCTCTAGTTCGGAGGCGACGGCTAAGGCACCACTTGATGAGGTGGTGATGGACGTGGTGGGCCCCCTGAAGCTTGGAGCTGCTGGAGCTGAGTATTTTCTCACCATTGTGGATGTCTACACCCGCATGACTTGGGTGTACGTGCTGGCCAAGAAGAGCGATGTAGCTGAAACGTTGAAGACGGATTGGTTCCCGATGGTGGAGCGGCAACAAGACCGTCTAGTGAAGTCGATCCGCACCGATCGAGGGGGAGAGTTCCTGAGCAAGGAGTTTGGGTTGTGGCTGAAGAAGAATGGTATCCGGCACTCCCTCACCATGCCATACTCCCCTGCAATGAATGGCATCGCCGAGCGAGCGA